AAGCTTGACCATTCCACTCTCAAGTTAGTCTCTTGCTCCTGGACGAGTTTTCTATTTTCAAAAAATAGATCCCTTCCAAAGTGAGGGATCGGTGCCTATTTATAGTGTGTAGGAGCTTTGCATAATCAGAGTAATTCCTGGGTAGCCATCGTGATCCTTGCGTAATCAACGTGATCCTCTGGGAGTTGTTATGACTCATTTTTCAAAAATCTTTGGTCATTGGAGATTATATTCTATAGGCATGACGTGACCTTCTGGAAGGTGTAAATCGTCGTTGACATAGTGTGCACGAGGGAAAACCTGAGTTGGGAGGTCCGATCTGGAGGACCTGAGCTGAAAGACCTGAGTTGGAAAGTCCGAACTGGAAGACCTGAGGTGGAAGACTTGAGCTGGGAGGTCCGAGCTACTTCTAGGCCGTGCTTGACCTTTGATAATTTTTGGTATCATCAGAACTAATTTTTTTCCAAAATATTCACTTCTTTTGTCTAGTGAAATTCGAACTTCAGACCTCTTAATTAAGAGGTCAAGTGGATGACTAACATATAATTGCTAGATTGGAAGTTGCTAGATTGGAAGACAAGTTAAATTATAATACGAGTGTGCCAAGAAATCACCCTGATAGGCCTTCACTGGTGGGATCATGAGGCCTCTTACCATGCCCGTTATTGTTCTCGGGAATGAACCTAGTTAGGTTAACATAACGGTCAACCACTGAATTTTAATATAAACTCCAAATAAAAAGTTTGATCGGTATTCCACTGAATCACCCCACTCAGTGGTGACTAAGTTATATAGTTGGTTTAACACCAAGAATCTGTTTAGGCAGTTCCGTGAAACATTTGTATCCATTGGACCAATCTACTGTCAGCTAGAAGATTAGTCATCCCTTTTTGAGAAATGTTTTGTGCTCTGTTTTGCCCTGTTTTTTGTTACCTGCACAGATGCTAGTACCTACTGTACAGGTGATAGATCTGTACACATGTTTCTTTTGATTAATAATACTTACTTAAAGCACACTACGGTTAGCCGTTTGTATGTGTGACTCGTTATCTAAGGGTGGTTTCTCCTCATTTACACCACACCAACATTTGGGTAGGTTATTTCTTAATTCAAAAAGATCAAAGTGGCCAGATAGTTTTGGCAATTACACCCAAGTGTTGGGCCTGGACTACTGTTTCTTCTGATTAGCAGTGATGATGCACAAAAATGGTTTTGCACACCACCTGTCAAGTATAGATAATAAATGCAATGAAATCAACGAAAGAATTAAAGAAGACACAATTTATAGTGGTTCGGTCAATTCGGCCTACGTCCACTCTTCAATGGCTTCAGTCGCCGGGTATTTTATTGATTCAAAGGTATGGAGAATGGAGATACAAGCTTTTGAGAGGGGGAGTAGAGAATCAGAGAAAATAATAATCTCCGGTAGTCGGTTCGTCTTCTGTAAGTCTTTGATGGAGCATGTGTCTCCTTCCTCTCCCGGATTAGAGCCATTTTATAGTAGTTAAGAGATCATTCTTGTGGAGATCATGACATATCCTCAAGGCTTCTTTATCGCAGCTTAGAGATTATCTTTGGTGGAGATCACGACTTATCCTCTACGAAAGGAAGAGGTTGGGGAGCTCTTCTTGAAACGTGGTCAATGATTGGACCGTTTCCCTCCTTAAGGCGGTGTAGATAAACTTCCCGTGCTCTCCTCTTGGTGACGTGCTAAGCAAGAAGTCTAACCGGCCTTGGGCTCCTTAAGGCGGTGCAGATAAACTTCCCGTGCTCTCCTCTTGGTGACGTGCTAAGCAAGAAGTCTAACCGGCCTTGGGCTCCTTAAGGCGGTGCAGATAAACTTCCCGTGCTCTCCTCTTGGTGACGTGCTAAGCAAGAAGTCTAACCGGCCTTGGACTGTCTTGGACTTGGTGGCCTCTTGGTGACATGCTAAGCAAGAAGTCTAATCGGCCTTGGGCTCCTTTGGCTTGGTGGATTCACGATGAGGTTGGGCTCCTCAACCGGGGTTGGGCTTTAATACATAAATTGGACTACTTGGGCTTAACCCATCAAGCAGTGTCATAAGGATTTTGGAAGCCGGTATACTTAATTAAACTTATTTGACAAAAAATACATATTAAAAAATGTTCTGGAAAAAGTTATATTAGTTAGATACAAAAACATAAATGCACATTTTAGAGAAAATAGTGCATTAAATATCTCTTAGTTTTATGAGAGAACTTTAATATTTAATGCACATTGATTCATGTGTATTTGTTAATATATATATATATATATATATATATATATACAAACAAATATATATAAATACGTATAAATAAGTATATATAAATACGTATATATATACTTGTGTGTGTATATATATACTTGTATATATGTATATAAATACAATATATATATATATATATATATATATATATATATATATATATATATACACACACACACACACACACATACATACATATATAAATATATACGTATATACGTGTAAAGTATAACATTTTTAAAAATGTAAAGTGCAATATTAAAAATGTAAAGTGTAAAGTATTATCTTATGTCTCACTTTACTTACTGGAAAGTGTAAAATGTTACATGTTAATATTGAAAGTGTAACACTTTCACACTTTCTCAATTAATTAGCATTTTTAGTGTAAGATGAGACATGTATATTCTGTTTCTGTGACACTTTAGGTAATGTCTCCCCTTACTTTGTGTAAATAGCTTTTACATTGTTATTGCTACATTGTTATAATTACTTTCAATATTATCCTACAACACTTTACACTTTTCATTAAGAAAAGTGAGACATAAGATAATGTTTTACACTTTACACTTTCAATGTTACACTTTACACGTGTATTACTTTGTGTAAATAGCTTTTACATTGTTATTGCTACATTGTTATAATTACTTTCAATATTATCCTACAACACTTTACACTTTTCATTAAGAAAAGTGAGACATAAGATAATGTTTTACACTTTACACTTTCAATGTTACACTTTACACGTGTATATATATATATATATATATATTAACAAATATACATGAATCAAGGTGCATTAAATATTAAAGTTCTCTCATAAAATTAGGAGATATTTAATGAATCACTTTTTAAAGAACATACACATGGATCAATGGAGGACAAAAATGTCACAAAAAAATTAGATAAATTCAAATTATGTATTTAAATACAAATAAATATCAAAATTAAGGACTTAATAACACTATATTTTTTAGTGTGTATTTTTTGTTAAATAAATTTAATTTAATGTACCTCTTACAATTTACCCAAAATAAACAAGCCAGTAAAGGCTCGGTGTTATGTAACTAGTGGCCCATTTTACTTAGTGGGCTGTTCAGGTCTCAGGTTGACCGCAAGGTTGGGCCAAGGAAAAATGAGTAAAATAAAGGACACAAATGGAAAGGAAAAATAACAGAATTACGAGAAGAAGATGTAGTGTCCGTCCTTCATTGCTCCCTTGTGAAAGGCAAGTTCTGAAAAAGTTTAACGAGTGGACTTGACGACGGAAAAAAAAAATTGGTATTGTACCTCCACACTTTACTATTTTAATAAGTATTTTTATAATTATAGTGAATTATTTTATAACAAAAAAATTTATCACTTTTATAGCTAATTTACTACTTTTCTAAATATTTTTATTACTTTTGTGAATATTTTTACAATTGTTTTTATCACATTATTCTTTGGCATCACAACAACAATAAAAATATTCATAACAATAACACAAAAAAACACAAAAATAATAAATTTCAATATGATACCATTTTTTTGAGTACGGTAAACAAGTCCTTAAAAAAAATTAGTTAGAAGAGTTTTTGGCGGATAGAAATGCAATAATGATGGGCGCATTATCTTTGTGCGCTACTCTACTTGTCCCACTTGATGTGGTATGATCTTCCCTATTAATTAAATATCTAATAAAGTCAATGACACTCACTAATGTGATAATTCACATTAAAGTGATACAAAAAGATATTTCATTTGTTCTTAAATATTTTTCGTTTAAGATTTTTATACATGGATTAAAAAAGTTATTAAATAGCTCTAATATGAGTAAAAAATAATTACAAAAGATTAAAATATCCTTATTCAATACGTATTAGAAAGGAAAAAAATATGAAAAATATTTAACCTCCACTTAATCTAATGCATTAAAAAGTTAAGGGTAAATTTAGAAGAAAAAATATTAATTATATTTTGATTTCATTAAATGATAGATATTATAGAACAAAATTTTTTTGTAAAACGACAGATATTTAAAAACGAATGAAGTAATAAGTATAGTATTATTAATTACAAATGATAGAGCGACAAATTTAGAGCTCAATGATGTGTCAAACCAATACAACCAATGAAGTATTGATGGGCCCTTATTTGTGGGGACAAAAGAGGCTGCTCCACCATTTGAGTTTTAAATTTGGTTTCCAAATCTAGTCAGAGTAGCATTGGTATTTATCTAAAGTTCAAAGGAAAATACTATTTGCATTAAAATATTGACTTGATTTATCGACTTGATCAATTATAACGAGATTTTTCCCAAATTCAGTCTCTCTCAAATCTTAATTTCTCAATCTAGTCAATTTTAAACCTATTTTTTAAATTCAATTTTTTCTTTTAAATGTCATTTAAAATGACGCCTCCATATGTAAAAACGTCATTTGAAATTGAAATTTTTGTTCTAAAAATGTATGAAAACGTCATTATAAATGACGTTTTTAAAATCGTCAATTGTAATTACGTTTTTAAAATTATCATTTGTAATGATCTTTTTAACATGAATATTTAAACGGCAACTAACGGGTGTGAAATAATTAAATGGATAGAAAACGCCATTACAAATAATATTTTTAATATATCTACTCATTTAAAAAATTCCCAAATCACAGCCAGGTTAAAATTTTTCAAAAAATTTCACCTCTCCTCCTCCACAAACGACTTTGACCCTCCTCCTCTACCAAACATCGAGATCCAGCCTCTTCTCCGACGTGCTCCAACCAGTCAACGGTTGTTATCTCCGACGAACTCCATATCCACCGAGTCAACGACTTGATCAAGATCCAGCGTCTTCATCCACCGAGATCCAGCCTCTTCATCCAACTAGTCAGCGATTTTGCCCTAAATCGATCCAGAACACCGGGTATGTTATTATCAGACTTGAATAACTCAATTTTGACATGATGCCTTGACTCTGTCCATTGATGGCATGTGTAGATGTGTTATGCCCTTTGGCTTTTTGGGGAATTTTTAACTCTAATCCACTGAAATTCCACAAAACTCTTGCGAAAAAACTAGTGGAGTTGCGCCCTAGGCTACTGAAAAATTTTCAAGTTTATGCACTATTTTTGTAGACGACAGAGCTTTAGGGGTCAATCCCAAATATTAGCTTATGCTGGAGACGGTTTCCAAACTAAATGGTAAGAATTGATCCCAGTTTGTGTCAGTTTTGCTATATTTTTCAAGTGGTAAGAATTGATCCCATGTAGCACCCACTACATGGTGATCACAATTCCAACTAATTCCAAATTTTAGCTTCAGAAGTGCACAGTTTGTTTTTCCCCTTTGTTCCCATGGTCTTGTTTGTAATGTAGGAATGGAGAGCTAGGCTACTTATGGAGCAGTCCTGTGCAATCAAGTGCCCATCAATTTCTTATCAATTAGTTGGTACCAAGAAGATTCAACAAGAGGTTGCAAAACCCAATGTACTTGAAAGGTAATAACCACCTTTTTTCAGTTGGGTATGATTATCATTTCTGCAGAATTAGGATTTTGGTTGTACTTGAACTAAATGTTTGTTGTCATCCCACTTCAGGGAACAATATCTATGGAGATGATGTAAGGGAAACCCTCCTAAAATTGCAGAAGGAAGGGACTGAAGCAAATGTTGCTTACATCCTCATGCAAAGAATTTTTCCAAACATATTTCCTGCTTTTCTGATGAGGAATGACATCTGTCGTAAAGATCATGCCATATCAGAACTTGGTATATATGGTGCTTATCTAAGGTAACAAGAGTGTGTCATTGCTCCCACTACCAATGAATTTTTCATGCACCATAACATGAAAAACTCACTCTCTCTCGATCTCAACCTCAACCTCTCGACATTTCAAATGGGGAGACAAGTTCATAGGAAATGCATTTGCTTCCTAAATCAAGTTTCAATATTCAAGTGAGAGAAAGGGGGGGAGTGTAGAGCTCCAAATATATGATGGTTGGTCAAGGTTTTCTTTACAAAGAAGGAAAAGCCTGTCTGCTGACTCTTCATTTTATGAACTATCAAATCAGTTTCCAAGGTTTAAAATTATACTTGTAATGTTGAGTGTTATTAACACTGCCTAGTATATGTTCCTAAATTAGTAAGCATTTGAATGTGCGGGAACAAAGATAATAGTGATTATGATTATTACCACTGCCTATTATATATTTATAAATTCTTGAGCATTTGAATGTGCAGGAACAAAGATAAAGTTATTATGAACGATCACTCTGGTTACTTGATGCGTACAAAGGTCTCTTCCTTGAAATGAGGGAGGCGTTGCAGCTGGATATGGAGTTTTGGACAGTATATATTTGGTTTGATGGAAGTGTTTCTTCAATCTGGACAGTTTGGGTTCCAATTGTGTTTAATACCATTCGGCCAGATCTCACATTTTTTGAGCTGAAATGGAGACATATCTGTTGTAGTTTTTCTTTCTTTCTTTTCTTTTTCTCTGTTCCTGTTTTTTTTTGTTCATAGGTAAAATATGGAAGTTCATTTCACATTCAAAAAGATGTCCAAGTACATTTCTTGTAATGTCAATTTTGCTTTTGAAAAATGTGAATCTTTCGAGAACTTGCTGGCAAAGTCTGAACTAATGTATGTTTTTTCATAAAATTCCCTTAGTTTCAATGAAATAAAAGCCAAAATTGGAGTCGTGACAGAGATAGCCAGATAAAATCAAGAAGAGCTCAGTGGATCACTTGAAAAATCCTTCTTGTATGAACTTTCAACCGAAATTGCGAGATGTTTAGTTCATAGCATCAGTCTTTTTCTTTTTTCATTTTAGTGGATTTTGTTTTGAACTGTATTTTCCATTTACGAATTTTTGCGTTGTTTCTAGTTTGAACATATGACTTGACTATATAATGTCAACTTGCTTTCATGTTATGCTACTTCAGGCTAAGAAGACATGACATCGAAACGAAATTTAGAATTCTGACCGATACAACTAAAATTTTCGCCCTAGAAACAATGGCTGCTTTTTTTTTTGCCTTTTTTCTTTTTTTTTGAACGCTGCTGTTTGATTTAATGAGACTCTCTTATTCTTCAAGAAAAAGTTTGATCTTGGTGTTGACATGTATTTTCTCTCTCTAACGGCCAAATACTGGTGGAGGTATTCAGGGAAATCAATCTTCATTGTATGTATATTGAAAAATATTCTCTTTAAGGCATTATACGAAACTGTGTTCTTATATTGCGTATTATTGTATTGAAATTGTTCTATAAAATAAAAAGGAAAAAAGCAAGTTGTTGAGTTTAAATATTCTTGAAGTTATTGTCTTTTGATTACAATGTTTTTTTTTATTAAATATATGTTTTACAAATATGTTTTTATATTGACAAATATGAAATAAAATTATGCTTTTATGAATTTTATTTTCGATTATAAAATAAGTTCAAAATTTTTATGAAAAGGGAATTAAATTCTAAAATTTATTTAATTTTTTTTTTGTCCGGTGAATCATGATGTGAGATATAAGGTGAGATTATTTAGCTTTTATGAAAATTATTATAAGTTGGTGGTTGGAGACTTTTGGTTAAGAAAACGTCAATGTAAAAGGTTAAGTGGTAGAAAACATCAATATAAAGGCTAAGGGGTAAAAAACGTCATTAAACATAAAGGGAATAAAATGTCATTGTAAATGGCGTTTTTAACCCCTTTATTTTTTTTAAATGTCTGTTAGACTCTGTTAAAAGTTCTTATTACAAAACGTCATTATAAATGACGACTTTAAAAACGTCATTCTTAATGACGTTTTAGGAAAAAAAAAATATTTATGTTCAAATCATCATTCCAAATGACGTTGTTAGGGAAGAGGGTGTCATTTCAAATGACGTTTTTAAAAAAAGACTGAGTTTGAGAATTAAATTTAAAAGTAACTAGGTTATGGAATTAAGTTTTGAGGGGGACTGGGTTTGGAAAAAACCTCAAATTATAACTATTGGATAGGTAATGAGTTCAAATAAATATTGAGATCCACAATTAAATTAATGATAGTAATTGATCAAGTCAATATTTTAAGTTCATGTATCATTGCTCAGACTCAACAAAGCAACTTTTGATTATTGTGCAAGCTTTAAATAGAGATGCAAGGGAGGAAAATTTTAATACAAAAAAGACAACAAAATCATGTAGAATGCTCCTATTATGACATGTGAACAAATTTAACCTTTTATGTTCAACTAATAAACAAATATAGACAAAAGAGGAACATTGATCAAATTGCATAATTCAAAAACTTAATTGACATAAGAATTAATTTAGAAGCTTAATTGAAACAAGTGGAATAGTTTAAGTGGCATCTATGCAATTTAACCTTAAAAAATGATGGTGTTTTTTTTTTTTTTGAAAGTTGTTGACTAGACCGTAAATATTATTCTTAATTAATTCTCCCCTGACTTGGGCGTAATGTAGTTTATTTTGAGGCGAACCAACACCTGGTTTTTTTGCCTAGTCAATGACTTACTATTCAAATACTTATAACGACTTAGGATTGACACTTGCACTCACAACACAACAATCATGCACTAAATGTGCATGTAAGAGTAAATATTTACTATAATATTAATACCATATTATCATAGTAATACCATATTAAGTGAGCGTTAGACATTACAATACAATAATATGACATTGAATACACTTGGTGTACCCCACCGCACATCCATACATTGCTGTTGTAGTTATTGGATTGTATCAATTATATGTGTACACTATACACGTGTTGTCTTATTATTGAATGGTAATTTGATGTGTCAATCGTTACTTGACTTTACCGTTATGTTGAATATTTAACATACGTATTTGCATTTGTCATTTATCGAATTATATTGGATATGTGTTTGTTGGATGTATCGTGCGCATGTAGTGGTCTATTATAAGGACTGTGATATTACGTGTCAATGACAAAGATCCAAAAAGTGAATTAAGCTCTGACCTCTCTCTAGATTTTCTCTCTCTATGGCGACCGAAGAAGAGAAGAGAGTAAAGAGTTGTTAATTCCAGTAACAACCAGATCTGTCATGCATTGATGAAAGTGAATCCCATGGATCAACAACCTCGCTCAGTGGAGGAGGATCACCTTCAGAGAAGTACAAAGAAAATTAAGGAGCAGTACAACAAAACTGAACCAGGCGAACAAATGCTTGTCGATCAAATAGCTGCTAATATTATTGATACATAGGAACAAGATATGCCAGATACCACAGAAACAACTACATAACATAAACACAGGAATTATAAAGCAACATTAATGGATGAAACAAATCTCATCTATTTTGACGCCTCTAACTACGAATACTCTTTAGATGAAGACCTCACCGCTTCTCAAGACAACCAACAGACGCCGGAAACGAATACTACCACAATCAATTTTTTCTAATGAGACATGTCCTACAATAAATCTGGCCCAAAAAAACACTTTTCCGGAGTCAAGCTTTTGGGTAGAAATATAGGATACAAGATACTTTGTATGAAAGTTAGGAATTGATGATACACAAATTGGTGTTATGTACCACTTGTCAAGTGATCAATAATAAATGCAATAATAAAGTGGAGAGAGATAATAAGCTAAACGAGACAAAGATTTATAGTAGTTTGATCAATGTGACCTACGTCCAATTTGAAGGGCTTAGGGTTGGCTAGTATTTTATTACTTCAAGGTGTGTAGAGAGAGCAGGGAGATACAAGCTATAAGAAATAGGAGAGAGTTACAGATGTGCTCAATTAAGTGTGATGCCCCCCCGACTGTTGGCGAGATTACCATTTATAGTCGCCTCTATCAGTAACTAAAAGACTAATTTGGTGGAGCTGACGCCATCTTCTTAACGGATGTGTCACTTACGGCGCTCCCCATAAGATCCGATCAAAGGATGACGTGGTGGTTCACTTATTCCAAAGCGGCGTGGATGAGGCTCTTGGACGACTCCTTACTCCAAGGTAGCTAGGATGAGGCTCTCAAGATGATCCTTACTCTAAGCTGGTTTGGATAAAACTCTTGGATGACCCTTACTCTAAGGTGGCTAGGATGAGACTCTTGGGATGACTCTGCCTCTCTTTATGATGTAGTTCCTCGAAACTTGATAAGCTTGACTGGGCATGTACCTCTTTGGGCTAGACCCATTGGATCTCTTTAAGTTGGACTCTTTATTTAGACTGAGTTTATAACATGAGTAGGGTCCTTGGGCTTGACTCATCATTTGCCCCCCAATGCCCCGTGTCCAGTCAAACTTGGAGAAGAAGACATTTGGTTGAACCTGAATTTCGATTGTTGGAGACTTTTCTTGACTGAGGACTCTTTTCCTTCCTTCCTAATATATAAACTCCTTTTGCTTTGATAGGGGATTCCTTTCTAGAGACACTTTGAGAACCCAAGTTGGATGAGTGAAATTAAAGATCTTGTTTTGAGTGTTCATAAGTCATTAATGAGAGTAGGAGAAGAACCCATCAATATCCATGGTGATGGAATGATTGACATTGAGGTAGGTGGTCAGGAGCTTGCCGGTGTAGTGGTGATCGAAGGAGGAGTTAGGCACCATGGCAGTGAAGGTGAGCCCGAAGGCTCCAAAGTCAACGTTGGTCCAATTCTCGTGGGGTGCCCAAGCTGCGAGGAGGAGAGAAAGCTCCATGGGCGAGACCCTGTGGACGTTGTTGATTGTGGGGCCCCTCGGGTACTACTGGCAGGACACTCCCATCGTTGAGAGAACACTGAGGATGAGGTGCGGCTCAGGGAGGCGGAGGCACCATGGGTCGACGCCAAGGACTATACGCCATGGGCTCCGTGCACTGGCAAACGGGCAAGGGCGCTGATGGCGAGGTGCCAGGGTCATCGGGCGTCGCAGACGAGGCATCGTGGTTGTTGGGCGTTGCAGGTGAGGCACCATGGGTGCTGAGAGATGGCGACTTTGCTGCTTGGATGCAAGTAATGGAGCCTGCGAGTAGCCTCGCCAGATACTGGGCATGGCCAGGCACGCACACTAGTGGCGTTGCCCAGCTCTGGGCGTGGCCAGACGAGTGTGCAAGCGGCTCTGTCAAGGCTTGGGTGTGATCTGGCGTAGATTTGTCAACGCTAGGCGAACCAAGTGCGATGGTTAAGATTGAGCATGGAGTTTTGAGGCCCGATTGTTGACATTCAATCTAATGTAGTCCCTTCGGTTACAGACGATCTAAGTTTCAAATGTGTGCCTAGAGATGACAAAAATAATGTTATTCTAACATCAAAGTATGTAACATGATTACCTGGAGAGAGAGAGAGAGAGAGAGAGAGAGAGGTGGGCTGTTTGCGTGAGAGCAAAGACAGAGTCTGAGGATTAGCTCATGAGAGAACCACACCTCTTTAGATCGAGTTTTTGGCAACCCATGAAGGAGTCGCTAAACTGGAGGTAGGCTGACTATGAGGCTACCCACATGAAAATAAAGGCAGAATTAGAGGCTTACTTGTGAGAGAGCTGCACCTTTTGAGACCAAGCTTTTGGCGACCCATGAGAGAGCCGCTAAGCTGGAGGTCTAGGCTGCCTGCTTGAGAATAGAGTAGAGGCCAAGCTTTTGGCGAATTGCAAGAGAACCGTTCAGCTGGAGATATAGGCTGCATACTTGAGAGCAGAGCATATATAGGCCAAACTTTTGGTGACCCACGAGAGAGCCGCTAAGTTGGAGATATAGGCTGCTTGCTTGAGAGTAAAGTAGAGCTAGGCCAAGCTTTTGATGATCCACGAGAGAGTTGTTAAGTTGGAGATATAGGTTGTCTTCTTGGAAGAAGAGCAGAGATAGGTGAAACTTTTGGTGACCCGTAAGAGAGCCGCTCAACTTAAAACATAGGTTGCTTGCTTGGGAGTAGTACAGAGATAGGCCAAGCTTTTGATGATCCGCGAGAGAGCCACTAAGCTGAAAACATAGGCTGTTTGCTTGAGAGTAGAATAGAGAAATGTAAAGCTTTTGGCGATCCATGAAATGATTCATCTCGTCTCGACCTGTTGATGTCTTCCACATTCATATATTTTTGAGATTTTGCCAATAGTTCTGGTATGTTCTTTGGTGGGCGCTTCATCATTGAAAAAAGGAAGTTTGATAAGCAAAAACCTCCCAAGAAGGTGGTCATGGTGACCTTATCATCGGGCTCCTCAATTTGGAGGACCTCCTCGTTAAAACAAGTGAGATAACTCCTTAGGCTCTATTATTGATCTTGCTTTATGCTGAGTAGATGGGTGGCAGACTTCTAGTGACAATGAAATGTGCCACAAAGGATCTTCATAGTTCGGCAAATGAGCCTATGGAGGCCGGGGTGAGCTTGACGAACCACTGTCGGGTAGATCCCTTCAGGGTAGTTGGAAAGGCTCTGCACATGATTTTGTCAAGAACATTGTGCAGCTACATCAAAGACTTATAGGTGTTGAGATGATCCAGTGGGTCTTTTGTGCCATCAAACGCTTCCATCGATGGCATTCTAAATTTTGGGGAAAGGGGGTAATTTGCCACATTGGTATGAAAGACGTGTCAGTGCGCCTTACGAGGTACTCAACAGTTTCTAGTCCTGATGCCTTCATTGCGCCAGTTGATTCTGTAGTTCCTTGATTTTCTTGTCCCAATGATTTGGGGCTTTTTTGAAATTGTCATGAAAATGGCTCCCATACTTCACACTTTGATTCTTACCCTCATCCTCTTGAAAATGAGGGTCTTCACCATGGGAGGAGGGAGCTGGAAGAGGAGGTGGAACTCCCTCGTGGTTGTGATGAGGGGCTCCCTTGTATGGGGTGCCCAAGGGGGCATGGGGGGCTCCTTGATGCCAGGGCGTGGAGCTTCTCTGGCTTGATGCCCTTCGGGCTGTACTCCTCCTTGTTATCCAGCGAGTATCAATTGTAGAATCTGTGGATTCTGAGTCACGTGCTACTACATTATTTCCCACATCTGTTGTGCATTCGGAACAAAATTGGTTGGTGGAGGGGAAAACTCCTCCTCTTGCGGTGGATTGCCTTTGGACTGATTCATAGATCTGGTGGTGATTGCCATAGGTACAACAAGAAAAAGTGATTAGGTGAGAATTTTGTCGATTCCCACAGACGGCGCCAAAACAGATGATGCACAATTGATTTTATTCACCATCGATCAAGTGATCAGTAATAAATGCAGTAATAAAGTGGAGAGAGATAATAAGCTAAATGAGATAGGGATTTATATTGGTTTGGTCAACGTGACCCACGTCCACTTTGACGGTCTAGGGTTGCCTAGTATTTTATTACTTCAAAGTGTGTAGGGAGAGCAGGGAGATACAAGCTATGAGAGATAGGGGAGAGTTAAAGTTGTCTCAATTGAGTGTGATGCCCTCCAAGTATTGGCAGGGATTACAATTTATAGTTGTCTCTATCAGTAAATAAAAGGCTAATATGGTGGACCTGACACCATCTTCTTAATGGATGAGTCACTTACGACACTTCCCATAAGATCCGGTTAAATGATGACGTGGTGGTTGACATCTTTCAAACAAGCGTGGATGAGGCTTTTAGACGATTCTTACTCCAAGGTGGTTAGGATGAGGATCTTGGATAATCTTTACTCTACGGTGGCTAGGATGAGGCTCTTAGATGACCCTTACTCCAAAGTGGGTAGGATGAGACTCTTGGGATGACCCTACCTCCCTTTATGATGTAGTTCCTCGAACCCTGATGAGCTTGATTGGGCGTGGACCCCTTTGGGCTGGACCCATTGAATCTCTTCAAGTTGGGCTCTTTATCCAGATTGGTCTTATAACATAAGTTGGGTCCTTAGGCCTGACCCATCAAGAATATTTGGGGACTCCAAGGAGACTTTGAAGCAATCGACTTGGACAATGAATTTTACCTTTTTAAGTTCCAAATGAAGGACGATTGCTTTAAAGTCTTTACAAGAGGACATTGGGTGATCATAAATCATTATTTGACTATTCGAAAATGGGAACCAAACTTTATTCCTACAAGAGCACCATAAATTACAATGGCATTTTGGGTGACATTGCCTGAGTTGCCTTTGGAATACTATGATGAGAAGATTCTATTTCAAATTGCTAAAGCCTTGGGCAAAATTCAAGACATCAGGACTGCCATAGCTGAGAGAGAAAAATTTGCAAGGGTCTGTGTGGAACATGACCTGAGTAAACCGCTTATTTCTCATTACTGATTTTGTTCAAAGTTATTTTAGGATGGAATATGATTGTCTCCATGCCATTTTTTTTGCCTTGTGGTAGGCTAGGGCACTGAGAAGCCTCTTATCCTCATAATCCGAAGGTTTCTATAGTGTCAGTGACCACTAGAAACAATGCAAGTTCTGGAAATTCCATAGTAGCAGTTGTCTTTGCAAAAGCTAACAAAAAGCAACGGTTTAATCCTCAAAATCATCGCTCATTGGGCAGTGGACTGCAAGAAAGAAATGAGGAAATGGATTTTGACCATGGATGATGGCCCAGTCTAGAAGGAGGAAAGCCCAGATCAATAATAAGTCTGTCAATCTACCCAACAATCGAAATCCAAACAGATATCAAGTCCTAGACCAAATGTCCCAAGAACTAGACAACATTCAAGCACAATCCAACCCAAATGATCCAACCCAAAGTATTACAAACCCAAAGCATTCAGCCACAAACCAACGCTAGGGATCCAGATCGGGTTAAAGGAGAAATTGGGAAGAAGCTTCCCAAAAGCAGTATCCAAGCCTAGGTCCCATCTGCCTCTAGAAATATCTCTGACCCCCTAAAACCCTACAGAATTCTAAGGGCCATCAACGACCCTAGAGTTTAGAATTGATCCAATGGTGCAAACCCATCATGGGGACTCAAAGTAAAGACCTTGGAAATTAGGATCAACCCTATCGCTCCTATCCCAACCCTTCTTCTTCTACACTAACTAGAGAATAACCAAAACCAAATGAAACCCTAACCAATGGAAACCATTCCCAAGATCCACCCTCTCACTTCCCCAAACCCTTAACAGGTCATCCCAAACTTTTCACTCGAATCCCAGACCCCTTGATCTAGTCCTAAGCCCTAATATTAAGGATGGGTGAGATCCAGTTGAGAGGTTATCACTTGGACTCAAACACAATGGGAATCTTGCTACAAATGGAAAAAGAAAACAAGTAGCTCATGTCAGTGAATTGGGTTATCAGGGAGGTTTCCCTAACAATAGAACTGAACCAACTCATATTCAGTGGAACCAGGCACACATCAGTTTTGACGGATCTAACAACCACTCTCACGGAGAACAAGAATTTAGCCAAAAGAGCTCTAAAAATGATTGATACTACACCACTTCCCCCTCCTATTGATATCATCCATGAAGTACATCTTATTGAACTATATGATGATTCGATAAGAGCACACTCACTAGATTTGGTTGCATTATTGGAAACAAAAATCAATAGCACACTTATGGGTAATTTCTTTGATTAATTTGGCTACACTATGTCTAAAAGAGTAGAACCAGAGTAATTTAGTTATATTGAAACCCTACGAGAGTTAATGTCAGAATAAAAGAAACTTCAACCCATGTCATCCATGCTTATATTCGAAAAGTTGATTTCGATGAATGGCTACTTTTGGTTGTCTATGCTAGCCCTAACCCTGTAAATCGAGCCAACTTATGGATGATTTAAGCAGTACAAAAGGCAATTATAGGAATTCTTGGATGGTTACTGATTAAGGTCGAATACTTACATTATTTATTAGTAAAAAGATCAATTATTTGGTTAAGAAAGGGTGATAAATATGATAATTTAGTTGAGAATTGATGCTATGTTTATAAAGGAAAAGCTGTATTTATTTTGCAATCAAAAGGCTCATGAATGGAAGAATTAGAGCAATGAGAGAAGCATAGCTAAGAAGGGACACACTGGAGTACGCGTCTGGACGGTGGAAGGCATCATGTTCGGACGCAAGTGACAGAAGGTGGTGGCTGAAGAAAGGAGTTTACTAGAAGTCTGGACGGGAAGGATGCACGCGTTCGAACGTGTGTCATTAGTTTGCCAACACCATAGTAGAATTTCAGTGCAATTCAATCTTTTATTGAATGATCTTATAAATAG